GGCGTCTCTCTCTCTCTCTCTCTCTCTCTCTCTCTCTCTCTGTGCCATGATGCCACAAATCCCCCAAAACAACAACGAAATGCTTTTGGCCGTTATACGACTGCGTTGTGGCGGGTGACAACGGTCATGTGTTGTTTTGTTGTGCGCCATATGGCGCAAAAGCTGAACAGCCAAGCTTTTTTACCAGGGCGTCAGAACATGAAGTTTTGCAACAGTGATGAGGTGGCAATGCCGCCGACAGCCCTCGCCGGCAGGCGACCCCTACTTGCCCTACTACTAAAGACTGATGCTCGTTCTTGAGGTACCCGACCCCAATGTACCCAGCCGAGGCCGCGTAGTTTGGACCGCTACCGGCCCGCTGTCATATTTAATGGTGCACAGTATATGCTGTCTCAATTACCTCAGACAGGCTGTCGCTTTGTAATATGATAGGCCCTGCGGATTACAGGTGCAGGAGACTGATCAGGCGCCGCAGAGTCGTCCGGATGGATGCCATGCATGCAGAATCCCTGCAGTCGCTTAGCTCCAAGCACATGGCATTGACACATCATAATATACCCGTACAGACTCCCATGGTGTTGCTTGGCTCGAAGCACATGGCATTGACACATCACATTGATGGACGAGCTGAGATGAAGATGGGGAGCCTGGTTGATCTTTGGCGCGTCACAAAGCCATCTTGAAATAATACTCCGAGTGTCATTAATACTGGAATTATTCAATGATAATCTGTATCTGGAATCATCTAATCACAACCTGCATTTATTAATACTAGGATTATTCAATAATAATCTGTATCTAGAAACATCTCATCACAATGTGCATTAATTAATACTAAAAATTATTCAATTACAATCTGGTACTCGAGTTGGGCAAAATACTTTCTGTAACTAGTGAATACGAATTTAGACAGCATTGGAAACCACTGTATGCTCGGCGTTCCTTGGAACAATCTTGAACGGAAACTCGACTGGCCGAGATGCGACGGACGGGGTATGACGAATCTCGGCCACTTTTGGCCGACCTTTATCATCCACGTCATTTGTAATGGTCAAAGTCGCCAGAATGTGCGAAATGGCCATAAAGAGGCTGGAATCTGCAAAGAACCTTCCGGGGCATATGCGGCGAGCGAATCCAAAAACTACCCCCCTCGGGTCGGGCTCGTTGCTGCCAGCCTTGGAGAAGCGGTCCGGGTCAAACTTGGCTGGATCTGCATAGCTACCCGGATCGTGGCAGAACCACCATACCATGGGCATCAGGATCGCGCCCTTTGGGATCAGATAGTCCCTGTACATGATGTCTTCCTGGGCCGTGTGCACGACACCCATTGGCAGCACGGGCCACCACCGGAGAAGCTCCGTTACCACGTTCGAGGTGTAGGGCAGCCTGGCGCGGTCTTGCGGGCTCGGCAGGCGGTCTGGGCCGACGACGCTGTCAATCTCCTGCTGCGCCTTGCGCTGCACGTCTGGGAACAGCACCATGGCCAATGCAAAGGCCTCGAGGGTCGACGTGGACGTCTCGACCCCGGCGCCGTACATGGTGGCGGCTGTATACTTGATGTCGCTCTCCTCGGTGGGGCGGACCGGGGGCCCGGCATCGAAGCTGCCTTGATCGTCGTCCGAGTTGGCGGTGTCGGTCTCGAGTATGCTGGAGACGTACGATGGACGATGGATGCCCTTCTGCATCTGCTCTTGGACGAATGCGTAGGGCATGTCGGCCACCTCGTTCATGGTCTGTCTGTGCTCTCGCGCTTTCTTCTTGAAAGACATGCCCGGCAGCCAGTCAGGAAGGTGCTGCAGGGCCGGCAAAACATCAACGACCCATGCCATGGGCATGAATGCCTCCTTGACTTGGTCGATCATGCGGTGCAGAAGCGTAACAAGCGGGTCAGCGACAGACTCGAGCGTATATCCATATGTTGCCTCGAGAACGATGGCGGACGCGAAGCTGTATAATAATGGCTTTGATTAATAAAATAATAACTAGACTTATATGACTTTTGCTCTGAAGATGGATTGATTGATTGATTGCGGCCATGTACCTTTTGAGATGGTCTCCCAGCTGCTCAGGCGATTCTCGCAACCGCTGGATCAATATGCCAGCCTGCTCTTGGTGAAGTGCCTTGTACCGCTCCGACGCCGCCGGTGTACCGAGGTGCTGGTGAACGAGCCGGCGACGAGGGCGAAAGCTACTGTCTTCATACTTTTGCGACGCCAAAAGATTGTCGTAGCCGCACATGCTCTGGGCAAACTCCAAGTGCGGCCGCGACGAGGTACTCTTGGAACACTTTTGCAAGAGATACCAGGCGGCGTCTCTGCCGTGAATGATGATGATAGTCTGTCCCATGATGTGGACGGAGCTGATTGGACCGTAGCGCTCGTTGTGCTTGAGCCAATGCTGGAATTCTGGCTCCCCTTTGGGTGGGAGGTCCAGCAGATTGCCTATCAAAGGAAGCCGCATGGGGCCGGGTGGGAGCGAATACCCACCGCTACCCCAGAAGATGAGCTGGTCGACGAGCAACAGCCCAATAAAGACTGCCAAGAAGAGGGTTGATGGGCTCAGAGAGAGCCCATCAAGGCTGGCCAGGATGCTCATGTTGATTTGCCACGGCCAGTGAAGAAAAGAAGTGTATTGTGATCAAGTATGACGACGGATCAGTGTCAGAGCAGAAAGAACAGAGTAGAACAAGAGTGAAGAAGCGTCCTTTCGTTTGACCTGGAAATGATCAAGGCTCTTTATAGAGCCTCGTTGACCACTCGAGGCCGAGATGTGCAGACATGATATATCAACATCTGTGATGCATTGTGCACACCCATCTGCAGACGAGCTGAAGGACATGCACTGTCCAACGTCTGCTAGCCCTGCAGACAAGACCTTTTGAGGATTTGATAAAGATACTTTTGTCCGAGTACCATACTATGTACCATTTGACTGGCCGGGCAGGCGCCGCCTTGATCAAGCCCTCAAGCCCTCAAGCCTTGTGCCAGAAAGGAATGCAACAATGCATGAATAGATTAAATGGTGTGTGTGGGCCGTTTGCCATTTGCCGCATTTTGCTAATACGGGGCGGACCGATAGTCCTAAAAATTGATCCACAAAATCACGTCACATTCATAACGGCTGGGGATAAAACTATATTCGCTCTTCTACTATGCCTTGCTCCGACTATGTATGACCCTGGGGGGCCGAAGCTTCCAGGTCACCCTCTCAAAACTCAACAAAACAAAACATACATGGTTGGCCTCATGGCTCTTATCGTGATCATGGCTACGCAAAAGTCGTGGAAATACGACGGAAAGTTGTCCTTCTTTCAAACTACATTCGTACCATACAGAGTACTCACCCAAGTGACAAGTCCCCCACACTTCGTTTTCGCGACTTGCCAACCCAACATCTTTGCTCTAACTATGCCAAGGTTTTATCAAATACAATCAAAAAACTCTCTTTCCTATGCATCTTTGCTAGTGTTGCTTATTTTGCGGGTTTCGTTATGGAGCCCAGGCATCTGTCATTTGCTGAAACAAGAATCAAGGTTGGCTCTTGCAACCGATGGGGGCCTCTCCATCGAGCTCTTACGATGGGTTGCCTGACCAATGGACACGCCCAAACTGCCCAAACAATTTTCTATTTTTTTTCTTTGCAGTCTCTTGGAATGCGGCCAAGATGCTCTTTTGGCACTTTCTAGATCTCTTTCCCTTCTTCCCCGTCGCTAACTAAAAGCAGTCGCTCCAAGGCGTAAGTTCGAAACAACCTCCCACCCCCCCCTCCCCTGCAAATCGTGCCATTAGATTGGGACCCAGCTTTTACCTATCGCTTCTTGAATCGCAATCATAGTTTTACATTCATCATCTCTGATTGATTAAGTAGCCGCCATCAAAAAAAAGACAAAAGCTCCAAGTTTAGCGCGTTATGGAAGTGAGGGAACATACGCCCAACATGACGGTTGCCTCACTCAAAAGAGTCCCTAGCTCTGGAGACTTTGAATCCGCCTTAAACTATGTCGCGACCGTCGGATACGATGTCGCATTTCTTCAAGGTGACACTCGACGTGTTCTCGCCGACAACCCGATATCCGAGCACAAGGGAGGAGAGCGCTTCGACCCGAGCGTCGCGCCTCTCGGAGCGCTCCGAGCCACCGGCCCGTGGGCGGCGAGATTGTTGCAGGGTAACGGCACGTTTATCGATGAATTGGCGGGCACCGCGACCTGGTCAGAGTCTCTCGATCTGCAAGACTCTGCTGGCCGCGTCGCGGAGCTGGTCCGCCACTGGATGGACGAGGAGCTTCCCGGCGAAGCCGACATGATATCACGCGCGCCCGAGGAACTCTTTCCAAAGTCAGCACCGGCGTCTGAGCAATTTTATTCCCTCCGCGACAGCATTCACTTCTTGCAGCAGTTATTGCCGGGCTCTCCGACATGCCGACCGGCGCTGACGCTGTTGATGGCATTCTGCATTGGTGTGGACGAGTTTCTCTGTCCCGTGGCATCTCTGGAGACGACCGTGTACCTTGGGCGTAGGCTAGGCGATCTTTGGGACGAGTGCGTCGTCGAGTGCGGCGGAAGAGACGACGCTGCCCACTGGCTGGCCCTCGCTCGGGACGCCCTGCACTCGAGCGTCTTTCTCCAGAACCGCGAGAAGCTGGCCTACGTGGGTCTTGTGGAAAAGGACAAGAACGTCTTCAATGACTGGGATACGACGGCACACTACATGCTCCGCGCCGAGGCCGCCATGACGCCGTTTGTCGGCTTCTGTCTATGCGCGTACGCGGGACTGCCCTTTCAGGATAGCCTCGCGGGCGCTGTCGGTATTTACTGCTACAACAGCGCCCTCGTGCTGGACTTTTGCAAGCGCGCGACCAGACTCGGCGCCGGCAGCTTCACCGAGGTGGCCCTGGCCGACAAGACGGGCGAGCTCCAGGGACGGGGACACCTGATTGGGTCGATTCTCGACTATGGCGAAAGCGTCCTGCCCCAGCTGTTTCTCTGCGTCCTCCGACCGTACGTCATGGCCAGCTCGTCCATGGTTGACGTGCTGGATCGCTACCGAGAGCGCTCCTGGGGACTCAGGCTGCCGGTGGGAAAAACCACGCTCTGTATGATGATGGCGGTCATGGAAGGCGTGCGGGGAAGCTTGACCGACGACGGGACGACATCATCATCATTATCATCATCATCTTCATCATCATCATCTTCTTCATCGCCGCTGCCGGAGCCGGAGCCCTCTGGCACCGCGGAGCTTGCGGCCGAGATTGTGGAAATGCTGGGTGCCCAGGAAGCATACAATGCCTACCGAGCTCAGCCATCCGTGGATGCGCTGTATAGGCTACCGCGCATCGTGCGTTTGGTTCTACAGATGGGTGGTCAGCAAGCATCAAGTCAACCGCTTCGACAGCCTACCACCACCAACACCAACACCAACGGCGCCGCGACAAGCGTATCCCGAAAGGCGCCGCAGCCCAGACGATGGATGACGTCTCTTGCGACAGCGTGCGCGCCGCCCCTCCCGTCATCAAAGGACATGCCCGCCTCGGCAAAGCAGCGTAGCTCGCGCCTTGGCCCTGTGCGCCTACTGGGAACTGTTGACAAGCTGCAGTCTCTGGCGCTGCGCTCGCCCGCGCGTCCCGGCGGATACGCGGCAGGGCGTCGCGAGTTTACCGGTCGGCCAGTTGGCTCGGGCTCGAGCATGTAAAAAATCTTGTTGTTGTCCACGATGACAAGTTTGGGATAAAAAACAATCTCGATGGTGGGTTTGTTTAATTGGTCCTAACGGAAAAAAAAGCGAGACAAATTGATTTTTTCGAGACAGATTGGACTAGGGCGGTGCGCTTGACTTTGAATCAG